AACAAAAAATTTTAATTTCCACATAAAGAAAAATTATTACAAAGCAAAATGAACTTTACATTTAGAGAAATATTTAAAGTACAGTAATTCAGAAAGACTGAAATAAGATAGTAAGATTGTATCAAGAGACGCAAAGAAAATAGGGACTAGATTTTAATGCCAAGTAAGACTGAATCCAGACAAAAAGTATTCAACTAGTACCATCAAAGGCTACAGTTTACAAAGAGGACACAGCAGTTAATAAGCACCACACATAATATTAACAAAATTTCTAAGAGATACATGGGAAAATAGTCATATTGGGAGACTAACTTCTCTCATGTTTGAATCCATAACCAATCAAGTGGATTTTAATGAGGCTTAAAAAAATAACATAATATGGTATACTTGATAGAATTCTGTACCCTGAGAAGAAAGCATAACCTCCTCATGGGTGCTCAAGGAACACTCACAAGAAATGTCCATATACAAAGACAAACACCAACAAATTTGAGACTTTAGAGAACAGTCAATGATAATATACATCTTCTAGGATACGGAAGAAATGAGGGTAAGGGTCAAATACACACACCACCTGCTAAAGCACTGATCAGAAGAGTAGCCACTAGCCTTAAGAACTGAAATAAATAGCAAGGACAAACTATTCAATTTTTAAAAAGAAAAAGAAAAAAAAAGAACAAAATGAACCTGAGGAGGTCAGAGAGAATAAAGTTTATCATTAATGAACTAGAAAACAAAAGTCATAAAACTTGCTGGGCGTGGTGGTGCAAGTCTTTAATCCCAGCACCCTGGCAGTAGAGGCAGGTGCATCTCTGTGAGACTGAGGCCAGCCTGGTCTACATAGCAAGTTCTAGGCCAACTGGGGCTATATGGAGGTCCTGTCTCAAAAAAAAAAAAAAAAACAAAGAGAAAGTTATAAAACTAAAAATAAAATCCAAGCAAATAAAGCTAACCTAATTAACAAAGGACTGGGAGCTGGGCCTAGTGGCTCATGCCTCTAATTCCAGCACTCATTGAGAGTTCAAGGCCAGCCTGGGTAACAGAATGAAACTCAGAAAGGCAGTGGGGAGTAGAGAAAAAAGACAAAAGTAAAATCAAGACTGTGAAAATACTATCAAGGCCAGGTGTAGTGGTATACACCTGTAATCCCAGCTCTCAGAAGACTAAGGAGTAGGGCTGTTAAGTTCGAGGCCAGCCTGGGCCACACAATAAGACTCTGTCTCAAACAAACAAACAATAAGTAAATAAGGCTCCATGCTCCAGCTAGTAATTTCAATCCAATAGTCACACAGATTGCCCTGGTTAAACTAAACATTCCCAGGTCTTGAATCTGGGAAAGTAACTGGTAGGGGAGGTGTTGACAGGGATAAAAGGGAGACAAGAGAGGGTTTGAGGCAGGGATGTGTAGAGTGCAGTTTATATACATATATATATATATATATATTTATGTATAAAATTATCAAAGAAAAAAAGAAAATCAAGTCGGGCATGGTGGTGCAGGCCTTTAATCCTAATACTCGGGAGGCAGGCAGATCTCTGTGAAATGAAGGCCAGCTGGTCTACACAGGGAACTTCAAGACAGCTGGGGCTATAGGGAGACCCTGTCTCAAAAAAATTGTTAAAGAGCAAACTTAATTTTACAAAGCAGAAAAAAAGTGGGCTCCTAAATGGAAAAATAGGGAAAGATGCTACTATCTCAGTTATGCAAACTGACTAGAAAATCTTGATGACTAATGATTTTCTAGAAAAATATTTCTAAATGGACTCTAGAAGCCACAGGATCCTACAAAGATCACCACAGACTAGAGAAACCTGTAGAAGGTCCGTATGTGTTTTAATCCAAATCTTAAGAGAGCAGTTCATTCCAAGAATAAATTTGTGTTAATGTAAAAAAGTAAAAATATCTTTCTAAAACAAGCTCAACTTTGATAAGAAAACTTAACAGTCTGCATACACAAACATCTACAAACAGCACATGGCTTTCGAGACCGAAGAGTTCGCCAAATTATTACTTCTATTTCTATATATGTTCACAAGTTTCCATCATAAAAAGCTAAAATAAAGAAAAGCTTACTTAAGGAGAAAACATTCCTATCTAGGCATGGTTTCTCACCTATGCAAAGTGTGGCAACCATGTGTTGAAAAGTAGAGAAAAACAGATGCTCTCAGAAACTTCCAGTGCATGGGTAGACAGACAACTCCTACATAAAGGAATCTGAAAACATTTATCAAAATTACAAAATGTGCATCCTCACTGATGGAGCAAGGTCATGTTTGGGAATCTGTCCTCTATCTACACTCAGACATGCATAAAATTACAACGTACACAGTAATTCACTGTAGTACTTGTTGTCATAGCAAGGACTGGAAACATCCCACCACTAGCCATCAATTTTGAATTGTTTAATTACACTACACCCATATAATCGACTTCTTAGAAATCATAAAAGAGGAAGTTTACAGATATAGATAGGGAAAGCTCTATAACGTATTAAGTTTAAAAAAGCAAGGTGCAGAGAAAGGTAAAAGCTGACATTCATGCAAAAATTGGGAGGCTGGTGAACCCAAGTAGGAACCTAAGTAGGCCTTTTCTACCTATGTCCTGTTGCAACTTTTGAATTTGGAGCCATGCAACTGTCATCTTAGACCAAAACAGAACATGTCATGTTTTTTTTAATCCCACCCTTTGAAATGGCACTATCATACTGCCTTTGTACATTATTAATCCATCTAGAATACCTATTATTCTTGCTACACTTGCTGAGTGGCAGACCACATTTCCAGTAAAGATGTGATTCAAGAAACTTTTATCTTAAAGAGCTTAAAGAGATACTCCACACAGATGAAAGGGGAACAGTAGATCAGCCAGAAGAGCGTCTAGTTAATGGGTTTTAATCCTGATGATGCTTTAAAATGATCCAGGAATCTTCGAAAAATACCAGTGGCCTACACCCACCCCTATGGTACTCACATCAGAAATTCAGGGCATGAGGCCCTGACCCGAAAACTACTGATCTCAATGCTTTAAAATAGTGAACATTTGTTTCCAGATACTGGTCCCTTACCACCCACCATAACACTCTACCCTACTGTGGTTTTCCTACTCAAGTAACATCCTTGCCAAGACACCTATTAACACAGGTAGATGCTCGCTGCCATAGAAATAAATTAACCGAAATTTCAACCACACTAATAGAGCCTATCATAAACTTTGAGGGTCAGAGTAATTGAAATTTAGTTCAAGATTCCTTTATTTTATTGCCAATAACCTGTCTCTGTTTGCCCTAACAAAAGGTTCATATGCTCAGAATAATCTCTAAACCCTAAAATGGAAAAACATGCCTACATATAGCAATAGCAGCATTTTCATTCTAAGCTCTGCAGTCAGGACTGCCTTAAGCCTCTAAAGCTCTATAAGCAGTGTGGGTTAGATGGCTCAGTGGGTATAGATGCTTTCTGCAGGCCTGACCACTAGAGTTCCGTACCTGGGACCCACATGGTAGAAAGAGAAAACCTGAGGCATGAGAGATGGCTCAGTGGTTAAGAGCACTGACTGCTCTTGCAGAAGACGTGGGTTCGAGTCCCAGCACCCACATGGAAGCTAACAACCTCCAGTTCCAGGGGATCTGACACCTTCTTCTGACTTCCTTGGGCATTGCATGACACAGGTGCACCTACATACATGCAGACAATGCACTCATACACAGAAAATAAAAATAATAAACTGCATTTTTAAAAAAGAGACCAACTCTAACAAGTTGTCCTCTGACCAATGCTGTGTTGTGACACATGCACATCAACATATATGCACACACAAATACACAAAATAAAATTCTCTAAGTAGCCAGTGCTTTTGGGAGTGAAGTTTAAACATGCAAAGGCCAACTTCTCACTGAACCTAGGCTTTCATTACCAATCTTTGGCTACTTGATTTCTAAAAATGCAATTTTGTCTCAACTTTAACCTTTAGCTTATACCTTCTTTCTACTCTGATTGGCTGTTTACCTGCTTGTTTGGGTTTTCTTTTGTTTTTTTGTTGTTGTTGTTGTTTGCCCATAAGTACAGACAACTTCTTATGCCATCACTTGACATTTAAATAAAATTCATTAAATGATCATAGGCCCTTTGAAAAACTAAAACATCTTGATTTTCCTTCGGGGATGCTGAGTTCGTTTTGTTTTACTTTCAGATGTTTTACAACCACACTTGGCCAGCTGGAGTTGGAAAGGCATCCTCTAGAAAAACATGATTGATCTAGCTAAAGGTGGTAGATTAGGCTTCAGGTTTTTGGGGGGCCCAAGTCCTCCCTCACTCCCACCCAAATCCTTGTAATCTAAGAAGAACCAGTTTATCCAACGGGATTAGGGGCAGAGTGGGCGGGACTCGAACGAAAAGTGCTCACACAAAGGCTGGAGTTGTCCTAGAATCCATTTCTGGTGTTTGGAGCCCACAGTTCGGCCCTTGCCTAACATCTAAGGTACTTGCTGCCTAGGCCTCTGACTGCTTTAATGTAACCTAAGTTCAAGTCCTGCCACTCCAGGCTGCACAACACCTTAGAACAGAAAAGGAACAAAATGCCACTGCATGATTTACTCAATCTCAAGGTATTTCTAAACACCTTACCCAACCTTTTTGTTTGTTTAATCTAAAAATACACATGTTTAGGAACCACCTACATATCTTTCTGAAGTTTTATGAACGGTGAGGTTTGGGTCAAGTAGATCAGAAGCTGATGATGGTCGATTTAGGGAGTCTCGCCTGGGATGAGAGTCCCTGGCTGAGGCTGGGCTGGAGGGTGGCAGGCCCTGCCCTTCCACCTCCCGAAATCCAAAATCCCAGTCTGGGAGGAGCGCTCCCAGGCATCCCCGTCGCCCGACCCGGTGGTTCCCACGGACTTTGCACAGAGGTTCAAGAGCCCTGGAGGCGGCAGGCCGAGGATGGCGGCGCCCTCGCTCCCCAGGGAGCCAAGGGAGGGGGTGGCCCTGTGGTGTCGCACTCACCAAAGTCCAGGAACTGTTTGATGGAGAGGGGCGATGGCGAGAAGAGCGAGTAGCGCTCTATCTGTTTGGGGACCGTATGCTTGAGCAGCCAGTAGAAGAGCCGCATCCTCACCCCGGCAGTGCGCAAATCTGCGCCAAGACGTCCCGGACCGCCGCTGAGGCCGGCGCAGCCGAGCGGCGGAAGAGACGGTGCGTCGTCGGCAGAGTTTTACCTTAGCTACGGTCTCGGCCTCAGCGCCACGAGCACAGCCGCTGGAGCCGCAGCACCAGCACCAGAAGCACTGGCAGAAGCTACCTCACGGGCCGCGCTCCCCGCGGCTCCTTGGGCCCCGCCCAGGAGAGGCGGAGACTGCCGCCGCACGTACGCGGCGCGCTAGGGCAGAGAGGGGCGCAAGGGGCCGATGGCCGCACGCGCACGCCGCTGATTGGTGCTGCCGCGGCCCAGGCTTTCTTAAGCCCCAGTTTCGGCACGCAAACCTCCCTCCCTGACTCCTGGGTCTCAGCCTGGACCGGGTGAGTGTACCTGCTGCGTGTCCCGCCCCGGATCAGGTCTTCTGAGATCCGAAGGTGCTTGGAGACCTGGAGGGCGTCCAGAGCCCACGGCCCGAAACACAGTCTTAAAGCACAGGCTTTCTCAGCTTAAGGCCCCTCTTCCGGAAGGCCTTCCTGTATCAGCTGACTGGTTGCGCTTTAGGCTGTACCTTACATTCTTGATGCTTTGACTTTCATGTTCTTTACCCTTTCACTACATGGGCAGTTTCATGCCCTACAGCCTTACTGCCACCTTTACACAGAATTAAATGTTAAACTACTGGTTCTGCCCAGCTCACCACCACTGGACAAGATCCATTGTGACATCACAGATGCTCTGTTTCACCGCCCCAGGATCCCCGCCCCCTGTCCGCCCTTATTGTCTCTGGTGAACACCTTTGGGCAAGATTGTTATCACTGGTTGCGTTTCCTGAAACCCCCACCCCTAGTTACCACCTAGGCTGGTAACTGTACAAGATCCTTAGGGCACTAATTCTACTTCATGCTCCCCTCATCACTACCACCATTGGATGGAATCCATTGTAAAGTTACTGACACTTTGTTTTGTGCTTCCCAGTCCCCCATCCCCAACAGTTGGATGGGATTAATTATAAAGTAACAGTTTCGTCCCCCACCATCACTTCTACTGGAAAGGTTCAGATTAGGGCTATTAAGCACTCCCTTTCGCACTGCCTCACGACCAGGAGACCCTGACTCAGTTTCATCACCACTACCATTTGGGGGCAGGAGTCTATGCTTATACTGTGCTGGGTATTCTGTGTACAACAGTGAACTTGGATTCACGGCTTAGTATATGAAATCATTATTTCCTAACGTGATTACATGAACTATTGCTTGCTTTTAACCATTCTCACCAAACACTGACTTTTCATAGTGTGTAAATATCAACTAAAAAGAAAGGTAAAAACACTCATTAAGGATATGTGAAAAGGCAACTGGAAGCCACTCATTTGTTTGGATTGAACTGCTTTTCTCACTCAGATTATTATTAGCATGTAGCTATTTGACTTTTGTGTCTTCATTTGGCTATTTAAGCATCCATTTCTCTGCTTTATAAAACTGGTGCATCTGAGTTGCAGAGATGTCTCAGCGGTTAAGAGCACTGGCTGTTCTTGCACAGGACCCAGGTTCAATTCTCAGCACACGCATGGCAGCTAACAACTGTCAGTAACTCCAGTTCCAGGGGAATTCAACACTCTCTTCTGACCTCTGCAGGCATTGCATGACATGGATGCACTTACATATATACAGGCAATGCACTCATACACATAAAATAAAAATAATACATAAAATTAACTAAAAACTGGTGCACCTCTCCATAATGTGGTAGTGCATGCCTTTAATCCAAGCACTTGGGAGGCAGAGGCAGGTGGATATCTCTTCAGCCCCATCCTGTCTTTTTAAAACATGTCCTTATAGCCAAGTGTTGTAGCACACACCTGTAATCCCAGTACTCAGGAAGCTGAGGCATAGTTGCTGTGAGTTTAAGAAAAACCTGAGATACATAGGGAGTACCAGGCTAGCCATGGCTATGTAGCAATAACATGTCTTCAAATAAAATAAAACGTGCCTATTAAAAGCATTTTAAAGTTCACAGCAAAATTAAGTGAAAAGTACTGGGAGTTCCCACATGCTTCCCTCTCCATAGCCTCCCTAGCCGCCAACAACCCCCATCAGAGTAGTTCAATTATTAACGAACCTAAACTGATAATTTATTACTCAAAGTTCATGGTTTACATTAGGATGCTTTTCTTGGTGTTCTATGGGTTCTGTATAATGTACACAAAATGTCATCCATTACAATATCTTACAAACTATTTTGACATCCCTAAAATTCTCCTGTGCGCTATTCATTTTGCCTTCCCACTAACTCATAGTAGCCAATGATCTTTTTACTTTTTCTGTAATTTTGCCTTTTCTAGAATGTCTTATAGCTGGAATTGCATGTTGGGTAGCCTTTTCTGATTAGCTTCTTTCACTTAGCAATATGTACTAAAGTTTTCTCTATGTCTTTTCATGGCTTGATAGCTCATTTCTTTTTAAGACTGAATGATATTCCATTATGTTGGTGTACCATAATTTATCTATTTGGCTACTAAAGAGCATCTTGATTGCTTCCAATATTTATTTGGTGGATTTCCTTTTTGATTTTAAGAATGAAAAGTGAGATTCTGAAGATGAGTGAGCAAGACAAAAAGGGGTTGCTTAATAAAGTTGTATTAAACTTAAGCCTTTAATGAAGAGTGTGTGTTTGATTTGAAGCAGTAGCTCTTCTCTTCCAGCATTCTAGATGCACTCTACCCCTGAACTGCATCCCTAGCTCTTTTAAAATTGTTATCTTGAGACAACATCTCACTCAGTGGCCCATAAAGGCCTCGAAATTGTGATCCTTCTGCTTGGCTTCCTAAGTGCTAGGACTACAGGTGTGAACCAGCATGTCTTGTTTTAGATTTTCTTTTTTGAGACAGGGTTTTGCTATGTACCCCAGGCTTGTCCTCAACTGCATATTTTCTCACCTCAATGTCCTGAATGCTAGGATTATAGGCAAATAGCCACCATGCTTAGCTTAGAGTCTAGATTTCCTTGACACACTGCATTGGATGGTTCAAACCCCTTGAAGACCATTTATCCTGGCCACTTTGTTTCTAGACAGGAAAGTTCCTCAGCTTTGGTGGTCTTTTTCCTCTCTGAAAGATTTTAAGTATAGGGGTAATGTGACAGGATATTATACTAAGTAATAAAATTTATGCTTTTTTTTTTTGCTATTCTTGGAGGACCAAAAGAAAGGAGTAACTTACCTTCCCAACTTAAAAGACAGCATAACCTTTGGCTATGGGCTTTGGGCTCCTATGACTTGCAAGGTTTTTTAGATGTTTTCTGGGGTTGTTTCATTTTTATTTTATATGACAGGGTGTTTGAGTTTCAAGGACATAAAGCAGAAGTTAGATGATATAGTAGTCATTTTGGTAATTTCTGTAAAATTCTATAAAATTCACTGTCACATTTACTGGTAGCCACTCTCACTCACTCTTGTTCACTTCTCCATGAATTGTATTTGTGTTTTGGGGAGAAAATAGCCCACATTGGTTGCGATAATGAGAAATATGGGCCAACTGAAAACTAATGAGCTTAATTCTGATTACTGGCCGTAGCTCTTGGATAAAGGATAGACACATGATAAAAGTTAGGCCAATGGGAAAGGAAGAGACATTTTCTAGGTGCCTGAAGCTTCTGGAAGTGGCCCTCTTAACTTCCTCTCTCTTCTCTTTCAATCTTGTTCCCATCTCTGCATGCAGACATGGAAGCACACAGTACCAGTCAACAACCATCTCAAGCACCAGGAAGAAGCTGATTTTACGGAAAGCAGAGCAGAAATGGGAAGAAGCAGGGTCCACAGTGATGTAAAGCTACTAATCAAAACATTCCCCAAGCCTTCTCTGAACTTCAAGTTATACAGGCCAGTACATCTCCTTTATGATTTAGGTAATCTTGAGAAGATTTATGTTATTTAAAATCAGAAGTATCCTAACTCTCATGTCAAGAATTCTCCAGATACTGCAAGCCCTCTAACAATGCTTACTGTCGGGTGTCGTCCTAGCTCAGCATATGCGAATTTTAATCTAGATTTAGTCTGCTTCTTATGCCCAAGTTATACAACACAATCATGTTCTATAATATCCAGAAGCAAAGCAATAAGGGAAAAAGGTTAAGTAAAGCATGACATACACACATTCAACGGACAGTTATCTTGTTGTTAAAGAGTCTTTCTCTGAGACTGGAGAGATGGCTCAGCAGCTAAGAGCATGTTATGCTCTTGTGGAGAACTGTAGTTTGGTTCTCAACACTCATTTCAGACGGCTTACAGCTGTCTATAACTCCAGCTCTAGGATATCCTAGACCCACTTCTGGTCTCCTTGGTCACTGTCTTCATATGCACAAACAAACACTCTCACATACACATACAGATAATTTTTAAAAATAAAACCTTTAAGATTCATTGTATGAAGTCAATGTGAGAACAGGAAAATATAACCATTTTAAGTGAAAGAAAAGCAAGATATCAAATTATGCATTAAATTTCATTTCAGTGCCAGGTGTGGTGATGCATGTTTTTAATCCCAGCACTCAGGACGCAGAGCCAGGAGGATTTCTGTGAGGCTGAGGTCAGCCTGATCTACATAGTGAGTTCCAGGCCAACTGGGGTGACATAGTGTCACCCTGTCTCAAAAAAAACAAAAGAAAAATCATTTCAGCTCAGCTATGAAGAAAGCACATAAGCTTATCCTAGAATAAGGCATAAGAAGGAAACAGAACAAAATGACAAAAGCACAAGTTGCTTAATTATTTGAGCATCTGTATTCTTATCTGTTAATGGGTGTGCCTTTGTTACCTACTATCTGAAAAATTTGGCATTTCTTACACTAGCAAGTCTAATAATATTTTCATCCACTCAAGCTGTTTTCTGAGAGGCAGCCTTCACTCCCACCCCTGATCAACATGGCCAATGAAGTTGAACTTGACCTAGATGGATTTCTGACTTGCTATGATTTCCATCAGGGAGGGTTATTTCGGCTACCAGGAGGGTCTCTGGAGACTGGAGACTTATTGTCAGCCTCAATTCTTTTCACCATGCCCAGCTCTCCACTTTCTAATTTTCTGGACACACGAAATTTTTGAGGGAAACAAAAGCTATTCCTCACAATGACTTTGGGAGTTCCTATTCTAGAATAATCTGTCCCTTGTATCATCTGATGCATGAAGTAACTATAAATTAATGATATTAATGGAACAGGGCTGGGGCTGAGTACCTCCCACAGTTTGAGATGTGTTATAGAATAGATCATAAAGGGCTAGATTTCAAAATGTAAAGAGATTAAGTTTCCTGCACTGCTCAATACAGTACCACCATCCACATGGGATACTCAGTCCTTGAAATGTGGCTGGTCATAAATGAGAAGTCTTATATGTGTAAAAGTTGATACAGGGCATGGTGGCGCATGCCTTTAATCCTGGCACGGAAGCAGAGGCAGGCATATCTCTGAAAGTTCAAGGCCACCCTGGTCTACATAGTGACTTCCAGGCCATCTGGGGCTATAGGGCAACCCTGTTTCAAAAAGATCAAGAAAAAAAGTTGCACTGAATCCAAAGGATAACTGGCATTTGCCCTGGGCTGCTTTTTTCCAGGGTTGTTAGATATGATTTTTAAAAGATTTATTATTTACATGTGTGTCTGTGTGTGCATGTGTGCACATGAGTGCCGTGACAGTAGAGGCCAGAAGAGGGTGTCAGATCCCCTGGATCTGGAGTCAGGCAGCTATCATTCACCTGATATGGGTGCTGGGAACCAAACTCTGGTCCTCTGAAAGAGCAGTACAGTGCTCTGAACTGCTGAGCCATCTCTCCCGTCTCCCCCACTCCCCGCCCAGTATGATTTTTAATCCTTACATTAATCTTGCCAGTAAATTCAACACTGGATCATTGTTCTGTGTATAATTCAGTTGCCAAGGCTTTTCTCTCTGTCACAATAGATTTGAAGACCTATGCAAGAAGGGGGAAGTGATGCCACTCCCCTCCACCAAATTATAGTAGGCAAGTTCTATAAAATTAAAATCACTTTGCACAGATACATCTCATTGAAAAAATGTAACTACACTTCCCTAGATGCTAAGTTAACAAGCACATGACAAGAATGAGAGACACAGCATTGTTTTCCTTTTATCTAATTGTAACATTGTTTTTGAGTGAGTACTATTGAAGATCTGGACTTTCCTCACTCAAGAAAGATTCTTAAGCATGTCTACAATCCCAGCACTTAAGAAGTAGAGGTAGGAGAAACAGGAATTCGAGGACAACCATGGTACATTTCAAGTTCAAAGCCAGCCTAGGCTATAAGACCCTATCTTTAAAAACCAAGAAGGAGGAGGAGACAAAGACAGTTATTTGTTCTTAATTTTAGATGTGGCAAGAAGTTTACTAGCTTATGTTCAACTTTTTTCTCCAATAGTACATTGATAGTTTTAGAATTACAAGTTAGGGATTGGAGGTGTGGAAAGAATGGAAGAGAGAGAAGTAGAGGCTGGAGGAAAAATCAGAGGACTGGGGAGGGGCTTTAAGACGGGTTCAGCAGAAGACAAAGAGCCAGGTAGCAAAAGAGCCTAAGAGGACATCATACTAACAAATATGATGGGCTTTGGGATTTGAAGAGAAGATGGGGATGGAGATGTGTAAAGGAATGAGAACAGGTTGGGATACTATCATCTTAGTCCGTCAAGGACCCCTAGCTAACATTTCAATACTAATACTGAATTGTTATGAACGTGTCTTTTTCTTCTTTTTTCACATGTGTATATATCTAGGGTGTGTGTGTGTGTGTGTGTGTGTGTGTGTGTGTGTATACCCACATGTGGAGGCCGCAGGTTGTCACTGGGCATTTTCCATGATTACTCTCTACCTTATATATATTCATGCAGGATCTCTCACTTGAGCCCAGAGCTTACCAATTTGATTCATCTAGTCTAGTTAGTCAGCCCCTATCTCCACCTTCCAAGTTCTGGGATTACAGGCAGGTCACTCCACCCACCTAGCATTTATGTGGGTGCTAAGGATCTGAACTATGGATCTCATGCTTGCGTAGCAAACATTTTACCCACTAGGCCATCTCCCCAGCTTTGGCTTACTATTTTAAATGCCTATAATTGGTTCTTTAATTTTTCTAGAGTTCCATGTGTCAGGATGAAAAATGTCATCAATGGGATCTGAGATAGGAAAATACCTTGGTTTTTCCCTGAAGCAGACAGCTATACTTTGGGTAAGTATTCTCCCTAAGCCTATGTGGCATCCTCCCCCAGTCTGTGGCATTACTGGGAGATAGTGGAACCTTTAGGAAGTAAGGCAGCAGGGGCTTGGGGTGGGAGTTGTCGAGTCAGGTAACAGGCGGGTAGACCCACAAAGGGAATTAAGAAATTCTAGTCTTTTCCTTACTCCATTTCACTTTTAACCATGGGTCAGGTCTCCTTCACCATATACTCCCACTATGATATACTGCCTCACCACCATTGCCCAAAAGCAACAGGCCAACTGACCATGGATTGAAACCTCAAAATTTTGAACCAAAATAAACTTTTCTTGAGTTACAGTGATAGCTCAATGACAGAGTGCTTACTTACCATGCACAATACCCTGGCTTCAAATCTGACCCATCCCCGCTCCCACTATAAACATTTTATTATTGTATTATTTTTGTGGTCTGGGAATTGAACCCAGAGTCTTGTGTTCTATCACTGAGCTACATCTCCTGGGATGTCTCATTTTTTACATTATTTCAGGTATTTTTGTTGCAGCAACAGAAAGCTGGCTGATATAGAGTGTGATTTGCTTCAGAGCTGATGCCAAAACATGCCTCTAGAGGACTAGGGGAGAAGACGATTAAGGGCTTATAATGATATAAGTCAACATACATAGCTGGAACTTCATCCTGCTGGGGAACTTGAAATATATCCTACCTGAGAGGCAAGGAAGCCAGGGTATTTGTACTCCAGCTCTCATCAGTAGTGACTAAGGGTCATTCCTTTGAAGGCAATACTCTAGCATCTCTGGTTTATTGTGTTACTGCCCTGAATTTTACCCTTCTTTGAATTTTATGAAATATAATTTTATGGGGCTGGAGAGATGGTTCAGCAGTTAAGACCAGCAGCTGCTCTTGCAGAGAACCCAGGTTTGGTTCCCAACACCCACATGGTAGCTAACAACCATTCATAACTCCAGTTCCAAGGGATCTGACACCCTCTTCTGGCCTTTGTGGGCACTGCAGAACATAAGTACACTTACATGCATGCAGGCAAAACACTCATACACATAAAAATTAATCAAAAAAGAAAAATCTACTTAAAAAGGAAAATAATTTTAGATCACACATATACATGATCATGGGATTTAATTTCAGTGGATTATAACTTGGTAAAATGAATACTGCAGTACAGGCCTGCAGTCACAGTTACTCTGGGAGGCTGAGGCAAGATTACAAGTTCCAGGCCTGCCCACCCTACAGAATAAGTTCACGGCCAGCTTGAACAACTTGGTGAAACCCTATCACAAAATAACAAACTAAAAATTGCTGGTGGGGGCAGGGCAGGCCCAATCTCCATAAGGCTTTGCTTTTTTATTTAGAATATATATTTATTGAATTTTTTAAAAATATATCTTAATCATATTTAGACCCTCTCCCCTATCTGTACACCCATAACTCCCAATGGATTTCATGCCTTCTATCATACATGTTAAGGCCTATCGAGTCAAGTGTGTGTCCCCAGATGTTCCTCAGTGTGAGTTCATCTGCTGGAGCCTGCTCAACCTATCTAGCATCACTCCCTTAAAGACCAACTTGCCCTCACCCAGGAGTGATCAGCTGCCAATAGTTCCTCAGATAAGGTTGGGGCTTCTTACCAATTTCCCCAGTTCTGCACTGGCTTTTTGTCTGGTTTGAGTTTGCATGGGTCTTGTGCATGCTGTCCCCATTGCTGTAAATTCATATGAGCAACTTTCTAGTCACTGGAAAACTCTATTTCCCTGTGGTCATCCACCACCCTGGCTCTTACAGTCTTTCCGACCCTTTGTCTATAATGGTCCCTGGGCCCTGGATGGCAGAGGTTTAATATAGGAGTCCTATCAGCTTCACTGGTTAAAGATTGGTGAAGTAGTGGCACTTTCATCTTGGGGGTAATCAACAGCTATCTAATTGGACTTAAAGCCCACTCAGTTGAGGGGAACTCATGTGTGGCACCATAAACATTGCTAAATACACATGGCTGGAGAGATCGTAGATCATAGAGAGAAACCTATGTCTGTGTCTGACACATCTCTAGACAATTTCTCACTTTATACTAAATATGTATCCTTATATCTATAGACAATTAAATCCTTTCACCACTCATCAAAGAAGCTTCTTTTTTGCAACAGATGGAGACTATTACAGAGTTTCACAACTGGTCAAATACAGAGAATAAGTGTCTTTGAGATGCCTAGTCCTAAGTGACACATCTACAATGGAACCTCTACACCTGAGGCTCATGGAACATAGTAAAACAGGGGGTAGAGAGAATATTAAGGCTTTGCTCTTTTATAGCAGTGTTTCCAGGTACAATTTTTAACTACTACAACAATGAAATCAGGATGATAATTTTGTCTTTTTAATTTTATTTTATGTGCATGAGTGTTTTGCCTGCATGTATGTAAACACACCAGGTGCATACAGTGCCTACAGAGACCAGAAGAGGGCATGTCGGGTCCCCTGGAACAGTTATGAGAGTTGTTAGCCACCAGGTGGGTACCAGGAACTGAACCCAGGTCCTCTGCAAGAGCAGCCTTAACCTCTTAACCACTGAGCCATCTTCTTTATCCCCTCAGGTTGAAAATTTTTGGTTGGATGCATCTTTGGGCATTCCATAGGACACCAGGTAAGCTATCATCTGTCCCCAGTGGAGTGTAAGATCACTCCTAGATAGTGTGATCCCTACATGGTCATCTCACAAGGTTAGGCAGTTCTACCATTTACTGACTGTGTGGTCATAAATGAGTTATCTAACTTCTCTGAGCCACGATTTTTCTCATCTGGAAAATGGGATATTGAAGTAATGAAGCCCTCACTGTAAGTTTGTTGTGAGAACTGGAGAGACTACTTTCCAACCCTGTTAGATTTCAGTTATAGGGATCGCTGCGACTGTTTCAGAACACTAAAGCATAGTACCATCATGTAGGTAGACATCTGCCTTGCAGTGGTAGGTCCAGATTTGCCACTCACTGGCTCTGAGTTTGGGACAATTACTTATTTTTCTCTTCATCCTGTTCCTCATATGTAAAGTGAGAAGTCTGGAACCAGCTGATCTCTGGAAAGGAGACGATGAGTCTATGAGAGGAGCATTGACTGTAATAATAAATTATTTACCAATGCCAGTATAGTCACCTGAGGCTACTGTTCCTTAAGCACTAACTTATTCAATAGGTTCTGAGGGAAGAGTTAGGACAAGTACTTTCCCAGGGAACGAGAGGAAATTATTTTATTTGAAGGAATAATTTCCAAATATGAAGAGGAAAGGAAATAGTAAGAAAGTGGCGAAATAACCGCTCCAAAATTTACAAATAAAAGCTATGCTTGATTTCAAAACATCAATCAAAGCTGAGTTCAGAACTCTGATATTACTCTGCAATCACTCCAATTCTTTTTTCACCAACACAAAGCAAGCTTATTACCTGAGTCAGGGCTGTATTCTGTTTCTCCTTGTATAGCTCATTGTATAACTCCTTTCTTCCTTTCTCTCAGAATGGCCTTATTCTTCCACTGCATTGTTTTTCCTCTCGGCATTCCTGTTGTCACTGGTTTCAGTAAAAAAGTCACCTTAATCTCAGGTATAAGTTTGGTTTGGCAGCAGCCCAAGCTACCCATTCCCATTCTTAGGTTCTGATGCCTCATGGCCTGGAGAAAGTTTCCCTCTATGTGTACCTCATAATCACCATCAAGGAAGTCCATTTGGACTAAGTACAAGCTGAATTTCAGAAGTAACTAAAAAAAAGTCAGCATTCTCTCTTTCCATTAACTTTTAACCCAGGACAACTCTTGGCTGTTCTCACAGTCTTCTTGGCTTTGCATAGGTATGAAACGCACCTGCAATCTTTCTTACACTTCTCCATGAACTTGCCTGCCTAGTGAATATCCTGTGGTCCTTTGTCTGATTACGGGACTGGCCATATCCCCAGTGAACAGCCATTGCATTTTCATTGCATGAGAAACAACTGCAGTGAAATTTTGGTTAACTCAGACTCCCTGGAGATACAAAGTCTCTCCAACAACACACCAGGAGAATGAAAAGAAGATGGCAAAAGAGAGATTGGGTTCACAACACAAGCTAGGATAACCTAGACCTGGCAGACTAGAGAGCTAAGAAAAGTCAGTGATGGAATGATCTGGCCAAGGACAAGTGTACCAGGAGGTTGGTGCTTTGGTGTGAATATTTGTGACTTTCCCCGAATCATATGCTGAAATCTCTACCTGCAGAGTCATGGTGAGAGTCTGGATTTTCATGACTGGGATTAGTCCTCATCTAAAAGAGACTCCAGAGACCGAGTATATCTCTTTCACCACATGAGGACACAAGAAGTTTCCGTCTATGAAAAAAATAGAACCTAACCAAACACCAGATCTGTCGGTGCCTTGATCTTGGGCTTGTTGCCTCCAGAACTGTGAGAAATAAATTTCTGTTGTCTGTAAGCCATGCAGTCAATGAGTCAATGGTATTCTGTTTGGCAGATGAAATGAACTATGACACAGGCCCAGGAAACTGAGAGCCATAGCTACCATCTACATTTGCTTTGTGGTAGGACACAGATGTTCATTTGTGTGTGTGTGTGTGTGTGTGTGTGTGTGTGTGTGTGTGTGTGTGTTTAGAAACACATGCTCTTGGTGATGTTGGTGAATGTATTCAGTCCTTCCCCAGCCATGCAGCTTTTCCTGAAGACACTTTCCTCACTAACGTCTGTAATTAGAGAGAAACATTAGAGATGACAATTCTGCTCTTGTAGTAATTACTTTTCCTGTTGCTGTGATGAAAATGCTCGACAAAAGCAACTAGAGTGTTGAAGGGTTTATTTGGGCTCACAGTTTAAGGGGCTGTAATCCATTATGGCAGGAAGGCCTGGTGGCGGGAAGCAAAGGTATATGAATGCTGGTACTCAGCTTGCTTTCTCCTTTTTCCCTTTTTATTCAGTCCAGAACCATAGGCTGTGGGATGATGCCACCCATGTTCAGGGTTGGTGTCCGAGGAGGATAGAAGAGAGTCTCATATTCCCTGGAACTGGAGTTATGGATAGTTGTTAGCTGTCATGTGGGTGCTGAGATTCAAACCTGGGTCTACTGTGAGAGCAGCCAGTGCTCTTGATTGCTGAGCCACATCTTCAGCCCCTGAATCCTATTATTATTGACCTCATCATCACTCTTTCTATGATAAACACATTTCTCTTCCTTTGAGTTCAAGTCCATTACCCTTTTTGCCTTCTGCTGCCTTCTAGCCACAACTGGATCTCTCTATGACTTCTGCTCTATTTCTTCTTAAAGTTCCCTAGAGCTCTATCCTCTGCTTTTTTATTTACTTATTTTTATTTTATGTGCATGAGTGTTTTGCCTACATGTATGTAAGTGCATCTGTGCATGCAATGCTTGTGGAGGCCAGAAAAAGGTGTCAAGTCCCCTGGAACTGGAGTTACAGTTGTTAGTTGCCATTTGGGTGCTGGGAAACAAACCCCGGTCCTCTACAAGAGCATTAAGTGTCCTTAACCGCTGAGCCATCTCTCCAGCCCCCTTAGCCCTTAGTTGTCTCTCTCTTCTAGACAATCCCCACTACTCCACCACATGCCATTTTACCATTTCAGTGCTGACGTCCTATACTTCCAAATACCTTCTGGCCATTTCCACTTCAATGTTTCTCAATGATTCTCTCAAGCTGTGCATGTCCGACATTGTGGTATTATGTTCCTGCCAAATTCCTTCTCTTCCAGAATTGCTCCTTTGCTGGTTCTGCTGACCAGGCCACTTAACAATAAGAACCTACAAATCATTCCTGGCACCTCACTTACTGTCACTTTCTTGCATTCCATTCACCATCAAGCCTCCTGATTCTATGTCTTCTCCATCTCTTGAATCCTCTGCCTCTCTCCATCCCAACAGTCAGTACCTGGCCATGGCTACAATTACTTTTCAACTGGTTATTGCAATTATAATTGGTTCCCCCTACATCTTCTCTTGCTCCCTCCCCAATTCTTTCATCCACTGTAGCTTGGGTGAACTTTATAAATATTTTTTAAATAATTATTTTATAAAATCTGGTCATTCCACTCTCCTTCAATGTCTCATAAGGTCTTGCCTGGTCTAATCCCTATGTACTCCTCCTTCTCCTGTACAAATCTAGTTCTTATTTTGTCTTCTTTGGTAATATTGAATTTATAAACATATAATACAATGTTTTTCCTGCCTGTAGCTTTTGGCCATGATCTTCCTTCTGGTCAGAAATGCTCTCTCCACTCCCAATGATGAAATAGCTAAGCCTTAGTCAGCCTTACAGTAGGCTTTAAACATCACATATTCAGGGGCTGGAGAGATGGCTTAGCAGTTAAGAGCACTGACTGTTCTTACAGAAGACTTGGGTTCAAATCCCAGCGCCCACATGGTGGCTAACAGTCATCCATAACTCCAGTTCCAGGGGATACAACGCCTGCTTCTCTCCTCCACAGGCATTGCTTAACATGGGTGCAATTATATACATGCAGGCAATACACACATACAAATAAAATAAAACTTTTAAAAAATCACATATTCAGGAAAATCTCCCACCCACCTAGTTGAACAGAGTCTCCTTTTAATTCCTCTCATAGCACCATGCACACCTCCTCTCTAACACATTGCACATTTGAAGGGAAATAATAGCAATGTTTGGCTTAATGCCAGTCTTCTGCTCATGCTTATAAGAGCATGCTGGTTCATTCACCACCGAGTCTCCATTCCTAGCATAGTTTCCAGTTAACAGCAGAAAAGTCTTTTGGTGGCTGACTCTTTGAACACTCACACTAGTCATTTCTCTAATGCTGTCACTAAGCCTTGCTTGTAGAATTGGAAGCACTGTTGAGTCCTTGTGTATTACTGTCCTATTGCTGCTATAACAGATGACCATAAACTTAGTGGCTGAAAGCTATACATATATTATCACACAGCTCCAGAAGTCAGGATACCTAAACTCCAGGACAATGGACAAGGAAAGAGGAGACATTTGTCAATAGGCACAAAGTGGAAGATGAACCTTCATAGGTAATACGTTCACCAAAAAGCAGATGCCAATGTCTTAATCTTAGAGCTTCCAGCCTCCATAACTACAAGGAATAAATTCCCATTGTATATAATTACATAGTCCCAAGCATTTTGTTATACCAGCACAAAATGGACTAAGCTAAAAGAGGGACATTATTCAGCCTATGACACCCCCATGCCCCAGAGGGTAAATTTTTTGCAAAGTTTTCTGGACCAAATTCTGAATTTAGCTACTATGCATACTTCATATACATCATTGGTACTGATTTGTAACTCTCTCCTGGGTTCTCTTGTTCATTGTTTCCACTAGTCTTTCCTTGAATGTATATGTATACTTCACAGTGACCACATGTACAGCCTTCAGGTATACTTAAAATATCCTTCCAGATTCCTGTCCCCTTGACAAGGGAGTGCTATGGATTTGCTGTGGTATGTCCCCTTCACTCATGTTGAAATCTGATCCCTAGTGTAACAGTGCTGAGCGGTAATGCAGCCTCTAAGAGATATTTGTATCATGGGGACCCTAACCTCATGCCAGATAAATGCCACTCTCTGAGTTAATTTTCACAGGAGTGAGTTCTCATTCTGTAGGAACTAGATTAGTTATCTATAAGGTAGACTATTACAAAGCAAGGGTATTCTTCATGTTTTCCTTTCCCACAAGTATACATGCTCACTTGTCTTTTACCTTCTACCATGTGATGACACAACATACCATATGCTGAGCAGATGCCAGCACCATGTTCTTGGACTTCTCAGCCTCCAGAACTGTGAACTGATTAAACTTCTATTCTTCATAATTTACCTAGATTCAAATATTCTGTTATAGCAACAGAAAATGAACTAGGAAAGGAAGGTAGAGTCACAGAAAGGGAATGGGACCCAGTCAAGCAGCTGAAATGACATCTCCGTGTACCTTTACAATCCCAAGTCTTGTGTCCAGCCTGTCACTTTCATGAGAAACTGGCTAAGGGGATGATCATGAGGTATCATAGGCTAGAGGGTTTCATCAAGAGAATGTAGTTGAACCTTTTAGGTACATTTATAACTTGTAGGGAAGTGTTCAGAAAGCATACTTCTTTGACAAAAGGGGGTTCACTGTGCAAATAATTTGCATTTTAAAACTTCATTTAGTCTGCATGAATGCTACGGTACCCTGATCCTCAAAGTGCTGCCTGTAGACCACAATGTGCATCCACCTCAAAGTTAGGGAGAATGGGAATGCTCAGCCCTAGGAACATGGTCATCTCACCTTACAATTGCCATTATATACTTTCTGACAGTTATAGAAATGAAACAGAAGGTATCACTTCTGGTAACACTGAATGTTCTAACTGGGAACGAATCTCTTGTTCACAATAGACACATTCTAGATATTTGTGGAAATGGAGACAGGTGTGGCTTTCTGTCACAGAATATGCTCTCCTTACAGTAACCAACTCTCAATTCTTCACCACTTGCTGTCATCCAGAGGTTGTCAATTTATGGATATTCTGGGGTGTACTCAGTGATTATTTTACCCACAAAACATTTTCTGGGGGAAAAGGAAGAAATTGAAATGTTTCCCATGTTCTTATCTGTATTTATTAAAGTAAAAATATCACTTTTAAGGAAAACTCTAGGTTAAAGTCGTTTTGAGTCCTTAACACAGATGGACATGCTGATAATATAATCTATTTTAGAGCTTAGAAGGAACTTGGAGATCAGCTGGTCTGTCTTTTTACTTTGTAGATGACAAAGTGGAAACCTACATAGCTGAATGACTAGTCCAAGAAATGCACAAATCAGGGCTGTTGCCATCTTTATAAAGTCATTAAAAAGTATTAGCGAAGGGTGTGTATATCTAGCCAATTAGTCATACACAAAGTTTACATAGAATAAACTTACTCTTCACTGTTTGAAGGTTTTGTATTTATTTGACCTGAGCTAAACCAAAGTTTGTTTGAAACCTTCTATGGAAGAAAAACTTATTAAACAATGTTGTAAAAAAGAAAAGTTGCTCAAGATCCACAAAATAGTGACGAAAAATTGTACACACCAAAAAACTCCATGATAGTTAATCTGGATTGCCAACTTGATGGGATCTAGAATCACTTAGGAGACAAATTCTAGGCACACCTATGAAGGATTTTCTAGATGAGGTTAACTGAGGTGGGAAGACGCACCTTAACTGTGGGTGGCACTGTTCCATGGGTTGGAGTCCTGAACTACATAAAAAAGAGAAAGCAAGCTAAGCAGCAACATTCATCGCTCTCTGTTTCCTGATTGCAGATACAATTGTGCTCTGCCACATCCCATCCACCATAGCTTCCCTACCATGATGGAGTGTATCCCCTGAACTGTAAGACAAAATAAACTTTTCCTTCCTTACGTTGCTTTCATCAGGTACATTGTCACAAGAAGACAAACAACT